TCATGTAGTCGGCCGTGATCTTAAGCTCTTTACCTCGGTAATTACACAATAATCACAATGCCTATTACCGAGTGAAAGTGAGAGGATGATTTGATGATTACATAATAATCACAATGCCTATCACAAACTTACACCATCATTCCCACGAATAAAATAAAACGATATACATGCACTATATAAATATAAATAATGACGTAGTATCGTACAATATTCATATATATAGAAAATGAGTCATAAATAATACGAGGGAGAGTCAAGACATTCGAAGATGACGGGGGAGACCCGATTTACCGTTAATTATGACGGAACACGAAATAAGTCATAATTCGACGTTAGAGAGCATCGTTTGTAAGTTTAATACCATTGACCTCAACCCAGCCAGTCATGAAGTCGGTCGCGATCTTAAGCTCTTTACCTCGAAAATTACATACTAATCACAATGCTTATTTTCGAGTGGGAGAGTGAGGGTGGTTTGGAATTTACACAATAATCACAATGCCTAACTCCACTTCACACCATCCTTCACGCAAGAAAACAAAGGAATGATCCTCCATGCCACTAGGCCTATTACATTCGAGTGGCACACCTGGAAATGTACCATAAGCGTGACATGGATGAGTGTGGAAGCAAGTAGCAAATAGATAGCACATGTCTAGCAAATAGCAAGTTAAGTAGCCCCATAAACTCACAGTGCTTTTCAATACTCAAAAATCGAGCCAACTTAGGCTCTACGTCCATATACGTCTAAATATCGTCCAACGGTCACTCTGGAAGGACCAAGTGAGCTTATTTAACACCGATAATATGTACTCAAAGTTTCATAAAGATCCGACAACAAAAACTTAACGAAACTTAATTTAAACTCATTGTAGGCACTATAATTCACAGCTCAAAATTAACTTTTTATCAGTTTTGAGGCGCAAATATAACCAACTAGAAGTCTTATTTCTAAAAAGTTTCTAAAGGACAGGTTTAGATCTACATATAAGCTTTCTAAGATGTTCATAATCGTAGCAATCCAAGCTACGGTTAAGAAGTTATCGCACATTCAAAACAGCATMTYGGRTAGATTYGRTGCTGTCAAATTCACCAACTAAATAGGCTAAAATCCATATTTTGGGTTCAATCTTTATTCCAACAATCAAAATACCATCTAACCATGTTTATATTATTGATTTCAAGATCAATACTCAAGAATTTCACCAAAATAGTCATTAATGAAGAAAATCAAATGAATGATCCTCCATGCCACTAAGTAAAAGGTTTTTTTATAATTCAACATCTAATAATGCTTAGAGAAATGATTATGTTTACCGGGTGATCAAACCCTTTTAATCCCAAACTAATCATCACACCTAAGTGGGTAAGTGCAGTAAGTTAAGGCATAAAATAAGCGTAATGTATCCTTTCAATGGCATATAGTTCTATGTACAAATTAAGATGGACTCACCTTGTAGGATTTAGAGGAAATCCCAAAAATCTCGACTGAAGTTGTTGTTTCTGATTAGACTTCCAAACTTGTGCGCCAAACAGTTGCTTGTTGTCTGCCTCGGTCTGCTGCGCGCCAAGACAACTGCTTGCTGCCCGTGTCGGCCTGCTGCACGCCAAGACAGCTACCTGCTGTCCGTCTCGGTCTACTGCGCGCCAAGACAGCTGCTTGCTGTCCGTTTCGGCCTGCTGCGCGCCAAGACAGCTACATGCTGTCCGTCTCGGTCTGCTGCGCGCCAAGACAGCTGCTTGCTGTCCGTCTCGGTCTGCTGCTCGCCAAGACAGCTGCTTGCTGTCCGTTTCGGCCTGCTGCGCTCCAAGACAGCTACCTGTTGTCTGTCTCGGTCTGCTGCGCGCCAAGACAGTTACTTGCTGCTTCCTTCCGTCCGCTACGCGACCAAACAACAGCTGTATTGCTGCTTCTCGTAACCTAACAGCAACAACAACTGCTTCTTCTTGCCTCAACAGTAGCTACGGCTGCTTTCCTCGCGTCACAACAGCAGCTACTGCTGCACTTCGACTTCTACCTGTTGCGCGCGCCTGACTGCAGCGACAACTGCTTCAAGTTCTGCCTACTATCATTGCCCAAACAGCAGCTAAGGCTGCTGTTTCGTTACCTGTCTGCTGCGTGACCCACAGCAGCAACAGCTGTTTAGACTTGACACTTTTCTTCGCCCAAACAGCAGCTAAGAAGGCTGTTTCATAACGGTATGTCGCGCAGACAAACAGCAGCTACGATGCTGTCTTTTTTTGTCCTTCAAACCAGCAGCTACGGCTGCTGTGTTTTTCTTTTAAGCCAGACAGTTACGACTGCCTTTCATGCTCGAAGTCCTTTAATCTTTCGCCCAAAAACAGCAGTTGTGGTGAGTTGCTCGAGTTTAATCAGCATCCATGGTCCTCTTCTTTGTGCGACTGCAGCTATGGCTGTTCTTCTACAAACCTGATTCTCCACAGCCCCCAAAAGATGATCTCCCCTCTCCTTCTCTTGAACGGGAACCGTACCCTCCTTCACCAGCCCTCTCTATATTTCCTTCTTCAGTTCCCACGATCCAGCCCCCTTTTTCCTCCTTCCTTTTTTTTCTCTCTTTTTCTTCCACCCATGAAGGAAGAGTGACCTAATATCAAGTTTAGTGAAGGTAGGACAAGACCAAAGTCCACTAGTCTGCAGCCCCCCCCCCCCTTTCGATCTTTTCAATCACCTTAATGACTTTGATTTTTCTTTTTGAAAGGATCAAAAAGAAAAGGCCTATTGACTAATGGTTATAAACTTGCAGTTATAAAACATAAATATCACTAACGAGAAGGAGTTTCCTTGACGTGCCTGGAACAGAGAATGGGGGAAAATCACGAGTGTTACAATCCTTCCCACCTTGTATTAAATTTCGTCCTCGAAATTTTAGCTCACGCGAAGAGGTGGGGATAACGTCTCTTTAAGTCTTCTTCCGCTTCCCAAGTTACGTTCGACCCACGGTGATGTTTCCATTGAACTTTAACTATGACAATTTCTTTACGCCTCAACACTTTGGTCTTCTTTTCTAAAATGGCTTCTGGTTCTCCAATGCACCGGTTGTTCTCGTCCACGAGAATTTCCGAAAGTGGTATTACACTTTCTTCTTCCGCTAAGCACTTACGAAGGCAGCACACATGGGGAGTGTTGTGGATTCCAGCCAATTCCGGTGGTAGTTCTAGTTTATAAGCTTGCAGTCCCACTCTAGCCAAAATTTTGAACGGTCTGAGGAAACGGGGGCTGAGTTCTCCACGCTTCCCAAAACGGGTAATGCCCTTCGAGGGAGATACTTTTAGCATAACGCGGTCGTCCACTTGGCATTCTATAGTTCGGCTCCTTTTAACTGCACAACTTTTTTGTCGATTCTGAGCCGCCTTTAAGCGCTCCCGAATACACTTCCCCCTTTTCGGCCGTTTCCTACACGATTTCGGGACCGGCGAATGGTCTCTCACCCGTTTCAAGCCAACATACCGGAAAAGGTTCTAAGGTGTCGTACAAGTTAAAATAGAAGAGTAATTGTACATGCACCTAGAAATCATGCATTATGAGATAAACACAAAATAATATATTGGACTAGCTTAGGCAATTCAAGACTATTTGCAACCACCAGGCTTAATGCTAGAACATCTGTACCTAGAGGCTCACCACATCAAATGGTCGATAAAAACTACTAAACCATGTTTCAAACTCTTCAAATTAGATTAACAAGAATCAAGTTAAACATCATTGTTACAAAAATTCATTGACCATAAAGTTCACTGTGCTCACTTTTGCCTTCAGTCTCTAATCTGCTCATGACTAGGAAAAACATGCTAATATACCAAGCACGCATAAAAAAAACTAGCTACCTACTTCAAAGATGATCTTGTTCGGTGCAGCATGTGCCATACTACCTCACCAACATAAGCCCTACGGCATCAAGATAACTTATACTTGGTCCGTCTGCATATATTGTCAAGCTCCATTTCCTTCTCCTCTAACTCATCAATATCAGCATCAGGGTTTCCATCAAGCCACTCGATTGTCTCCTTGATCTCATATTCTATCTCTTCCAAGTCTTTAACACTAAGCCCCATATCCATAATTAGACTCAACCGGATCTTGTATCGATTTAAGTTGACTCTCAACCGAAACGCATAGTCATTTAAAGCTTTATGGGCCATCGCCTTCTCTATGTGTGCTTCCTCCTCTTGCTTACATCGTTCAGCATCTTTAATCGTTTTGGCAATCTCCGCTTTTGACAGGCCACCGCCGTCGGTTATCTTGATCGCTTTGTTCCTGCCAGTAGTTAATTACCTAGCTGAGACATGCAGGATCCCATTGTCATCTATCTCATAGTATATTATGATTTCAACTTCCCTCTTTCATTTTCATCAAAATCATGGAAGATATCTCTTTAGTAGAAAAATCCTTCTTTTCATCCTCGTATTTTACTACAATCTTTGGCTTGTCGCCACTCCCAGCCACCACTTCAAAAGGTCACAACTTATTGTCTTCCTGAACAACTTCGTCACTTACTCTTCTTCCAATCAATTTGGTGGCGGTTATGTCATGGTCATATAGAGGTTAAACCATTGATGCATGAGCATCTCATCAAGTTCCGTTACCAGTCTACTTCGCTGGTGTAACAAGCTGAAGCTTCTATCCTTTTGTTATATAAGTCATGTTCAATTTGAGTAGGTGCTCAGGTTGTAACATAAGTTCTGATTATCGAGCAAGGTGAACCACAAATGCCGATTCCTCACATTTGCATTTCCTTTGGTTAGTGTCGACTGTAGTTTGAGGCTGCTGCAAATCTTAAATTGCCACCTCTCGAATTTCAGGTAACCAAAGAAGCCCAATATATTCTACCATTGCGTTTTACCTTTGTTCCTATAGAGTGGCACCACCACACTAAGCCTCTATTATTTAGGCATCTGGATAATCCCGAGTGTGATGTTGAAGAACTCAGGTAATCACTGCATCCCCATCCGACAAAAGGGACTCGGATCAGCTTTTTAGAGCATAAAATTTTCCGCTTGGTTCTCTACCAACCAATCCATCCCGATAATGACATCGAATCCTCCTATACACAACTTCTACCAATCTCACGTACCAGAACCTGACTACCATTTGCTATCTCTATGATCAACGCATTCATAAGTCTTTGCAATAACAATAAGTTCGAGCACGCTTATGTTTAGCTAAGTGAAATTTCGAATAGGTTATATATAAGGGTCCTCAATCTCGTCGTCGCAGTTCATGAATCAAGAATCTTCGTTGACTCTAAGGCTCTCTTATGTTAGGGTTCCTACCCATAACTCACAAATTAATGTTCACAATCTCAGCTTAAATCTAGGCGTCTAAGCCCCTTACCTAGTTCGCTTAAGCTATTGCTTTGATACCAACTTGTAACACCCTAAAAAAAACATCTATAAATATATATATATATATTGAAAACTAGAACTTGATATAAAATTCACCCAACAATAGGGTAAAATGAAGCATTTACATAACAATTAAAGAGGCCATGGATAACAACCTACTAATCTAATCAATCGCTATGACTAGGTTAAAGACGGGTGTTTCTGTCGGCTCCGACAAAGGTCGTAACATCAAATATAGCAACGCTCCGAAATACCAAAAGCTTATACAAAAGTCTTTTTCGAGACAACGCTCTTCTCAACCCATCTTAGCCCCGCCGATAAAGGAACCTGGCAAATAGTTATAACGAAAGAGAGAGAGGGGGTTAGGCTTATGCCTAGTGAGTCCAAACAAAAGAGTTTACGTAAACATAAAGGAACATACATAAAAATATACATGTAAATAGTTGACGTAACTTTAAACAGGAATAGAGACAGTGAGACCTGAATAACTCGAAGTGGAACAATAAAACATCCGAAGATGACGGGGAGACCCGATTTACCGTTGATTATGACAGACACAAAGTAAGTTATAGATCA